AAAACACCTTCCAATTTTTTTTTTTTTTAAGTAAATAAAAGGCAGAAGTGAGAGCCAGGCTTCTCACTCTCTGAGGAAACTGCAGATAAACCGGGGGGTGGAGGGCAGAAGGAGCCCTGGGGTGCTGGGTTAGGCTCTGAGGTACCAGCATACATTCCTACTTATTTTAATATATGTGACTATAGATATGTACAAACATAAATGCAGCTATGAGTGTATACACAGACTAGCTCCCAGACACAACCTTCCTCACTCCGTCCACGGAGACTGGCCAGAAGCAGCAGTAACATCCCAGCAGCAGTAAGCACACCTAATGCCCATTCTTGGTCTCAATACCACAATTCAGTAAAAGACACCAAGACTCCTTGGAGAAACAGCTGACTCAGACGGAGACAGGAACTACACGACGAGCCTGGGGTACCTTGCAATGCCAGAAAGCCAGGGTGTGCTTAAAACACACACGACACAGGGGCCACCTGAAAGGGCTCCCTGTGGACAGAGCTGCAATAATTTAAGCATCAAAGTAATGCTGAGGCTACAATAAGCTGTGATGGCACTCCAGCCTGGGTGACAGAATGAGACCCTGTCCAAAAGTAAGGAAATAAGTGAAGAGTGGGTTTTATAGAACCCACCCAGAGACTATTCTTCCAGTCCCCACCTATGAGTTAGATCTTTCCTGCAACAATGCAGATTAAAAACCAAACTTGCCGGCCAGGTGTGGTGGCTCACGCCTGTAATCCCAACACTTCAGGAGGCTGAGATGAGCAAATCACTTGAGGTTAGGACCAGCCTGGCCAATGTGGGGAAGCCTCGTCTCTATTGAAAACACAAAAATTAGCCAGGAGTGGTGGTGGGTGCCTGTAGTCCCAGCTACTTGGGACACTGAGGCAGGAAAATCACTTGAACCCAGGACACGGAGATTGCAATGAGCCAGGATCACACCACTGCACTCTAGCCTGGGCGACAGAGCAAATGCCAGATATAGGTGATGGGGAGGAAGGTAGCAAATCACACTGCCATGTGTGTACCTATGCAACAATCTTGCATGTTCTTCACATGTACCCCAAAACCTAAAATGCAATTAAAAGAGAAAACAACAACAACAACAAAACTTGCCTGAAGCAGTGTGAACTGAGTCTAGCTAGAATCAAATAGCTAAAATATAGGCTTTTAACACAACACTCTAAAATTAGTCAATTCCAAATTTAATGTTTTCTTCCAAGTGCAAACAAAACCCATATCAATAAAATAATCAACTCAACACACATGGAATTCATCCCACCAGGCATCTGGCAGACATGAAACCTGACCACAGCCCTCCCCGCCCTGCCGGGCTCTCAGCTGGCAGAGAGGTTTGTGAGAAATGAGGTGCCAGGCTTGAGAAACACTGAACAGCCAGGTGAGTCCATCGACAACAGCAAACACAATAAAGGAAATTCATGACACTCCTCAAATTTATGAAGGGCGGCTTCTCTACAATGTCCCGTGGGAAATACAAAAAGAAAGCTCACAAGGAAGGCAGATTTGAACTCAGGCCGAGGGTCTCAAGAGAGGCTTCCATCCATAGGCAACACTAGAATGTGCACGCAGCAGCAAGTGGAGCCTACAGGGCGAGCCTCTGCCTCCAGCTCTCTATGCTTCCAGTTCCCACTTTCAAAGAGAGGCCCTGCAGAGATGGAACGTCCTCTCACTGGTTTGGATTTCTACAACATAAATAAATCCCTCGACACAGAATACACTTTAATGGAGAACTTGAAGAATACCTTTGTGATGACCCCACGCTGCTCCGGATGGTGGTCACTGAGGGTGATGACCCCAGGCTGTCCTGGATGGTGGTCACTGAGGGTGATGACCCCAGGCTGTCCTGGATGGTGGTCAAGGAGCGTGATGACCCCACGCTGCTCCGGATGGTGGTCACTGACGGTGATGACCCCACGCTGCTCCGGATGGTGGTC